GGATTGGATTGGATTGGATTGGATGTGAATTTTGTCCGATCTATTCACGAATATATATACCAATAAATAATATATTTGTGTTGCGTCACGTGGCATTAATTCCTACGTGCAATCCCATTTCTTACAAGCAAGTGCAACCAGTCCACACATCTTAAACATCAATTTATTTTATTTACTTAAGTGGTAATCACGTTCCATTTATATAATTTGATTTTTTGTATTATAATAATTAATGACAGCAATTAATATTTTGATCCATATATAATTAATTAATTATTTTTTTCATTTTTGCTTACTCCTGAAGTGTGTAAAATATTAACCGATAGTAAGTGGCTAGTGAAAAGAAGATTAGTTGGAATGGTAAAGTTTAATTAAAAATCCAAGAAATTAATTAACAGTATATATTATATTGTGTGATGAATTAATTAAAGGCAAAGTAGGGAGTACGTAAAAAAGAGAAGACAAAGTAAAAGAGAGTTTTAATTTAATTTGTAGAATATTATGATAAGAATGGTTACATTATATTATTACAAACACAAACAAAAGAAAAATGGAAATATATATATATGGGGATCGGATCATAAAAAACAATTAAAGAGGCATGATGAACCACCCGAATCCCACATTAATTAATTCCGACAGTAGTACTCATGTAACCACATAATAATAATAATAAATATTAATAATGCATGTAAACAGAAAATAATAATAGGGAAAATGAAAGCAGAAGAATTAATAATGGGAATTAATTAAGAAAAATTAGAAGAGAAGAGCAAAAGCCATGGCGGCGAAGGAGGCGATGAAAGTGGGGACGAAGACGGAGGCGTCTGAGGAGGGGCCGGGGGCGGGTGCCGGTGAGTGCGCGGCTGAGACGCCCTCCATGCCGCCGGAGATTGCCATGATCACGACGACCATCATCAATGCAACACCGACCATGTTCTTCGACGACTCCATTATATATATATATTCTTTTTTTTTATGTATATTCGATGATTATTTCTCTCCTCTTTCGAAAAGCGTGTGTGTGTGTGTGTGTATGTTTTTCTAGAGAGAGAGAGAGAGAGAGAATATATTGTAGGTATGTTGTGAGATTGTGAATAGAAATGGGGGAGATATTGTGGGGTTTATATACAGCTGAAGATAGCTTTTACCTCCACCTTCTATGTTTGTTTTTTGTTTGTGTGTATGGGAGATAAACCCGGGCAGCAGCCCATTGCTTATATTATTATTATAATCTCTTTTTTCTTTTACTTTTGGAGTACTATTTTTTTTGGGAATATTATTACATTTAAATTATAGAAAGAGGATTTTTTTTTAAGGCCGTTTAATTCATTATTCTAATATAAAATTGAGTGTACATTACTAATGTCAAATTATGAAGTAAAATACGAAATAAATTAAGAGATGTGAATTTGGCAAGAAAAGGAACAGGGTGTCCAAGACACAGCTGTTTTGTGAAAGCAAATAATCATAATTCATCAATATATTAATTTAATAATGACAAGTAAACAACGTTTGGGCAACTCCTCCCTCCTCCTCCTCATATATAGTAGTGGGTGGGTGTCATTACTTACTTTGGATTAATTAACCGCTTCTTTTTCTCTATTCAAATATATCAATCACCAAATCCCAAATACTTTAAAATATATCTTTTTTACTTAAACAAGTTCTAACTCTCAATGAGGATGTCAATTCATAACTAATCAAGAAATACGTCATCTAAATTTTATTTCACGTCGAGCAAAATATATACATAACTCACGTTCTTTCGCTAGAAAGAGCTGAAATAGGTCATAGCTCGTTGCTCGTTAGCTACTCTCAACTTGTTAAACATCATCTCATCAACTACTCTCAGCTATTGAACTCAATAACAGAGAAAACTTAAGAGAGATGTTAGAATGCGTGCACAGATAATTATGATGATTAAGTGGTATCTGTATAAAAGAGTTTAGCTTGCCATTTGGGCCCCCAAGATATTGGGCCTTAAATAATCGTTAAACACAGTTGGGCTTTTCGGTAATATCTGTGCCTGTAGAAACAGACCAATAATGAAGGTTTGAATGTAAAATGTTCACAGCGAATCCAGCAAAGGAGGAAGTAAAATTATATTCATATAAAATGAAAATCCCACCTATGCATTGAAAGGCTTCAAAATTGCTTAAAAATGTTGCTTTTCTGTAAAATTCTCTACAACAAAAGTATATACCTAACTGGCTAACTGTTAACCTATCCAGTTCAAATACTTCTTTTTTTTGTCCCCTCTTACCCCTCATTTACAAAGGCAAATTGTCCTCTATATATTCTTACATCAATCTACTACTCATGTACACATGTTTCCCCCCGCCCATCAATTTGCCCCCAACAATTACCAAAAACCCCCTCAAAAACCCGACACTGATAGCGCTGGCCCTTTCTTCAGAACAACTACAGGTGACACCATTCCGATACATGGAGCTTTATCTGTCCAATTATTACAATCATCTCTCCTTAGTACTAAAACATCATAAGAAAGTATTATACTGACAAAAGATATGTATATATTTCAGGTAAGAAAATTTACCAAATCACTCCACCAGCAACTCTGTGTTCGTCCGATTGGCGAGCATGTATGAGTGTCCGAAAAAGGGACAGCCTGTCTAGGTGGATCGGTTCTCGAGGCATCTCAAAATGTTATAAAGCTTCTAGAACTATTGAAGATTTGGTGAACACGGAAAGAACAAAGGGGGCCTCTTCGCCAGGGTGGATTGTTGTAGGAACAATAGTGTACCCCTTGGGATCAGGATCTAATACCATTTCACACGATATTTCTCGAGAATTTACATAGTCTGTCCCACCAACTGATTCGTGCATGTAAATGTTGTAAGCTGCACGATGTCCACGTGTCTTTAGTATCCTCATACCTATGTAAAACATCATCGAATCATGGCTCGATTGGTAGTTCCTAAAACCAGCTGTTGTCCTCGAGAAGCTCACACCCTGCATAGATATATATACAACATAAGTTTGGGATTATTGCAGCTTATATAAGCTTCATTTGATTATAAGTTTGCATATAGTATTTTTTGTGTCTATGTACCTGCGTTAATGTAATGAAAACATGAATAGGTAATGATGCATCTGCTCCGGTGGCTCTCAGACGAAACTGTGGATTTTGATGCCAAGTTTCGTAGTCTTGGCAACCGCCAGCACTGTATCCCCGCCACTGGCTATGAACAGAGTAACGCATTTCCGGTGGGTAAACACGGCATACATATATCGACCTGAAATGTATCTGAAAATCTTGCCATGACATCCAAAATATACCGTCTTTAGCCTGTTCACAATATTCGCAGCATTAGATAATATTCAATGATTTTGTAATAATTTTCGAAAGAGAATATGCTCAAGCATCATTTTTTGTTTACCTGTGGGGTATGCTTGAGCTTGTGCTTCATCCTGTCCGTCCATTCAGGAGATGTATCGGACCAAGGCCCATTCCACTCAACCTCGTTCGCCCATGGATTTCTCACCTGAACTAGTTTATGCCCATCCACTTCGCGTATCTAAACAAAACATTGAAATACGCAAAAGAAGTGAACATCAAATTCAAAGGGTATCATTATTACATGTCCTAGATTGACATTGATATATCATACATACATACCTGTAATATTGAGTAAGCGTGGCCTTGTACAATTCCGCTAGAAGAAACGTGGACGTCAGAGCCAGACGGGCTTCCAGCACCGAGCAAAAAGCCCTCTTGTTTAAACCGTAATAATTGAGACCAAAGTCTTCCACTTGCAAGATCAATTTGGGATTGGGCGCTTCTCATGTCAATTTCTTCACCTGCACCACCAGTGAGGTCCACTAGAGCATCTTGAACGAGCCCACCTTCTAATGCTTCGTATGATCCATGCAGTTTAGCATATGCCTTTTCAAGTAATGACACCCATAGTTCGTTACCCTTTTTGCTCGTTGCAAATGCAGGTTTTCCAGGTGATTCACATGGGATCCAATCGTCTACAACTACTGGAACCCACTCCCCCTGATATCCATAAATCAAATAATTACAAATCTAAATTCGGTGTTCTGTAATGTACTTTTCAAGTAATTGTCGAAATAATAACATAAAATAAACTTCACCTGAATGCAAAAGCGAACTGTGTAGATTCCTTCTTCGTTGTAGTCTGGAGTAATAATGACTTCAGATATTCGTGAAACCTCAGTTAAGACAGCAACCGCACTCAAAAACCAACAATCCCCCAAACGACCCTGTTCATATTCTTGAGATTCAGATGAATATACAGAAACAAAGACACGCAACAAACAACATAGGCAGTATCAAACATAAATACCTGACAAACATCAGAAGGATTTGCTGTCCCCGAAAATAAGCACGGACTACAATTTAGATGCTTCTCTTTGACTATTTCATCCGGCCTCATCCATTGTGAAACAACCTATCATAAACATCAAGACCAGTTATGCAAAAACAATCATTAAAAAACAAAACAACATTATGTCAGACAAGAAGTTACCTGTAACTTAGGCGGGGGGTTGCCAGGATCAACAAACAAGGAACGATCACTTGGCGGGAACTCTTGGTCGGTAAAATGTACTTCTCCTCTTGCCAAGAGAGCTTCCTTAACTGCAAGCTCAACCGAGCGCATGCGTTGATTGATTTCGTCCTGACTGTCCATTCTAGGTTTCCTCAACCTTCTAGTGAAAGAATCAACGTCCACGATCACTCCTTCTCTTTCCGATCTTCGCTTCCTCCCACTTGAATACTGTCCATCCCAATCCACCTCATCTCTATCGTAGAGATCAACCTCTGCTGGATCACTGTCCCACTCCTCAACCTATAATTTAAACGCAAGAAAAGAAATGTTATTACACATGAAAAGAAAAACTCAGACAAGTAATGGAACTCAAGCACGAACCCTTGGAGGAGAATCTGCCCACTGCCAGTTGTCATCAATGTGGTCCATCGAGTTGTAATCTACAGCACCCATTGAAGATGGAAGAGAGGCGATCTCGTCTTCACTCAAGCACCTTCCCCAAAGGAAAACATCCATTACATGCATCTTCGATTCGGCATTTTCGCTGTCCGATCTTCCGAATGCATCGATATCCGTGGGTGGTCTAACGCCCACCCAAACATCCGTTCCTTGTTCCCATATTCCATTCCCCACGTTTAGTGGAAGTCCTGTCTGATAACCGTCATAACCACCGTCAATGAAGCAAGTTGCCTCGCCTAATTCAGCATCAATAGTCATCGTAATAATATGCCACCTGCAAAAAAGAAACCTCAAGAGTCGTAAAGAAAGAAAAAAAATCGAAAACGGTGGAGTTTTGATTCGAAAAATAGGGAATACAAAGTACAAACCTTCCATCTCCAATACTTGATGAACTTATACTCCACTCTTTTGCAACAGTAGTTTGTCTATCACCTTTTGTTATTAAACGGAGGCCAACTTGTCCAGCCTCGATACCTTGTTCAGAACCAGCCACGAGAATCTCCCAACAAACTTTTCGTTCGAATTCGGTTCCCAACAGACAAACTGGTCCAGACTCGGGTTGAATCATTGCAGCTATGGAGAAACTGACTTTCTGGCTCTGGCATAAACTAGGATCGATTTGACCACAGTGTCTTCCACTTGTTGTGGCTTCATCATCAAGAACACACACAGCACCCGCAAGTCCAGTCTGCAGTGCACGTTGAGATAACTGAGTTGCGCGTATTCTACGAGCAATGCTCGATACTCTCTCGCGAGCGAATGAATCGTCGAGTACTGAATCGCCTCCGATAGCACGAACGGCAGCCGCCATGGCTGCCGCCTCCCTGCCGCCAGCGTTAGGAATAGATGATATGAGAGAGGCCTCAATCTCCTTCCATTTGCGTTCTTCCTTCTCCAAGAGAGCTTTTCTCCTTTCTTTACCCTTTCCTTCCTCTTCACGTCTCTGCATTAAAGCTTCCTCTTCCATCTCCTTCTCTCTGATATAACTATCCTGTATAATTTCGAATTGTCTACGGTCCTCAGGCATCCATTTCTTGATTTTTCTCGCACTTAGATCCGAAAAGCCTATGCTATCCAGGAACAGTCTCAACCGAACCTCATCCTGGACCCTTTCAGCTTTGGCTGTCAAACCGAGCAAAAGAAGTAAATAGCCGCCAAACTTATCCCACATGTAAACCCATTCAGTATCGATAGCTTCTTCGAGAGCGAGAATTCGCGCATGGGCACACATTTCTCTCCTGTGGCCTACATCACTGATAACTTCATTGCGTAATAACTTCCAGCTCCTCAATCTGGAGAAAAATGATCCTGCAGACAGTTCTTCGTTTCTCAGACGGTCTCGTAATTTCATGACATCTGCCCTAGGAAGAACAAAGTTCCCTGCTCTATCCCGTGCAATAGTAGGATCCCCGACCAAAAGAGCAGCTGAACTTGCTGACCTCTGAGGAGCAGAGTATGTTCCAGATAAAGCATTTCTTGTCTGCATGGAGTTTTGATATTTTAGATTTAAACATACGTATTACTCAGATAAGAAAAAACTTCCTTTCTTCAGCATGACCAACAAAGTCATGACTTTAAAGAAAGGACAAGCAGCTAAGTGGGTTCACCTTGGTTGCTGATCTAGCAGTGGCCTGTATTATAGTTTCCTTACTAAGGAAGTGAACGGCATCTTCCACCATCTGAGAGAAAATAAAATGTTAAGAGAGTGGAAAAATGGGGGAAATTTGATTTTGATGTATTTAAAACGCTAAATTGGAAACTCAAGGTAAATGATAAAACCTCGAGAGTTAAGCAAGAACGTGATACAGCAAATCCAAAGGCCACGACAAGGGTAACAGCTGATACAGCAGCACCAGCAAAAGGTGGGTAAATCTTCAAACTGGCAACAACACCCCAGCCTTCAATTGCCAATGCAATCCCGTAAAGCACAAGAAATGCAGCACTGAATGGAAGATATAAAAGCTTAAACATTAGAAATAAAATGAAGCATCTAGCTAAGCAATTTGTTTTAACAAACTCGAGCTACGTTCCTACGTATAGCAAAGATGAAAAAAATAAATGTGATATTGATGAAGGAACTTTAACAAACCTGACATTTTTTCCACAATCTGCATGAGCATCATAAACATATACAGGCAATACCCTCGGAGAATAAATTACTATAGGAGGAGAAAGGAGTACCTGCGATGTTCATGCAGGAAGATAGAAAAGAAATGTCATTAACTGAAAAAAGATAAATAGCTTTGATTCACAGAGTAGGGTAAGTTAAAGTGTCATCAGATGTAACTCACAGTTAATGCTCTTCCAGCCAGTAGGAAAAGAAATGAGAAGTAGCCAACTGATGCGCCAACAAAAGCTTTATCTGGAAATGAAAGTTATTTTAGATTTCGTAAAATCGTATCAAGTATGTGAAAATAGTGAAGCAGGGAATTTTAACCAGTTACTAGGTACAAGATCGATGAGGAAATGCTTTTTTTACCTTGAACCCAACCAACAAAAAACGCCGCCAAAGCCAAAAGAAGTGCAAGGAAACAAACAAATAACATCTGGAACCGTGTCAAGTAAAAATTGTTTGAAGCCCAGTACTGAATGACACCAATGGCAAGGACAAGAAGGAGAACAACTAAAAGGAACGATGCACCAATCTGTAATGAAAAATAGATACTCGTTGGGTGTGGTAAAACTACATATAATGCAAGATAAAGAGGTTCTATTAAAATTCTTACTAACCGTCCATGGTTCAATTGTAACTGTAACAGCTGAAATTGCACCCAGCAAAAGAACTAGGCCGATAGTTATAAATATATATGCACCTCGAGAAAGCTTCCAGTTATCGTCTCTCCTGCAATCATTTACTCAGACTGTGAGCCACTCTTGCATATCCGGATCTAGAACTACAGTCACAAATTGTGACCACAATAATTTATAATTATATTGCACTATAGGAGCGCGTACCATTTTAGCAAACCAGAAGATAGAAACAATATTGCAGGCATGCAAATCAATGGAAGCAAAGCAGCAAGGAAGTCGGCCTTTGTTGGAATCTGGTCACTCCTCGATTCTACAACCTTAATGTATGATGCCCCACAAAATGATACAAGTACAGCTGCAAAAGTCAAGAATTAGTCCTTAGTAAGAAATGTGACACCAATCCCATAAATGAAATCAAATAAAACAGTGAGTGATAATAGTATAGTATATTAAATTTCACCTGCAAACGATCCAATGCAAACAGCAGATGAGAGAGAAAATCGATAAGTTGCAAACCACGACACTATGGGCAGTACACCAGTAACTATTAGTGCGATTGCAGAAGTCATTGCCCAGCCGAGATACACCGATGATGCATAGGGAGATAAAACAGTTTGCTGATCTCCAGTCCACCCCTTGTAGCGTAAATCATTCAAAGGCTTTGCAGATATAATTCCACCAAGAGCTAATAGAGATCCAGCAAATAAGGCTATGCAAATGAAGAGAACAGCACCCTGGCAACACATTGTAACACTTTCATCAATTAGAGAAACAAGAGTGTTGAAGGATAAGTCAGCAACCTAGCTTATGAATTATATTACAAGTCTCACAAGATTGAGTTATACGGGAAAACCATCATATTTGTGATGAAAACCAACAACAGAAAATAAATATTTAAAAAGTTTATACCTCTTTCCTTATAAAACTATGACTTCCAGCACGACCTGTGTCACTAGCCCCTGAAACCCAAAACTTGTAGCCATTGTGAATCCATATGGGAATGCCAACAGATAGGCATGCCACCATCAGAGGCACTGTCAAAGACAGTCCCAGAAGAACTGACGACTTGCTGCAAAACCAATTACAAAAAGAAATTAGTTTAACTACTACATAATATATATACTTTCAAGATGTTAAAAGTAAGTAAGAAAATTGTACCTCAAGAAGGAAAGCAACAACCCTACTGAAGTGCACACTAACCAAGCAATGAAGCCATACTGCATATGATAGAAAGAAAAGAAAAAATAGGAGACGTCAGATAGCCCCATTAGAAAAGTTGCATGATTAGGAAAACTGAAGACCGAAGAATCAAGGGGAACAAAATCAGAGACATCCCAAGGCAATAAGAATAAGGTTTGTTGTTGAGATTCAGGATAATATCCATTTAAACAGGCTAAAGTAAATAATCTGACAGCCATGCAGGAAAACGCCAGAGTTTCGTGGACTGAATTACTTAACATTATGTCATATGTAAGAGGAGAAACTAAGGAAAAACGATGGTAGTTAGCAATATGGTATTCCTCCATATGCGTAGTCTTCGAATGAATATGAACAAAATACCGACAAAAGAAACAACAGATGATATACAAGTAGTACTGTAAAACACATCAACTGTAGAAGTATCCAAAGTACATATGGTAGCATACCTTCCTAGGTTTCGAAGTCATCGACAATTCTTCAGATTGAAGTGATCTAAGGAAAGCCATAACTGACCAAACAACAGGAGATAGCAGCAGTACAGCAATGCCAAATTCAAACTGCAGAATAGGAAACCAAACATGTAATGAGAACTAAAATGACACAAAAATTGTGCTAAATTTTTTTAATGATACTATCACAAAAACCGCAGAGTATGCAAATAATATATATTAATGGTCAATGTACCTGCTGGTGTGTAGCATTTATTAGATTTATTGTGTTCGGGCGGAAAATGCCAATAACCGTAGTCTCCACGCTAAAGACAAAACTGAACAGAAGCCATGATCGCTCCGGTGTACCTGCTATGTAGTGCAAGACTAGTCTACAGAGTTGAAGCCATTTCTCCAAACCACGTAGCCTAAGCTCTTCCGAAAACGAAATTTGATTAGGTGGCATATTGTCAACACTGTTTGAATCCATCACAGTCATGTTAGTATTGTCACGGTGATCCCTGTCTGCATCCAAACTACTTCTTTGCAGCAAAGCAAGGATCATAGGATCCAATCCGTTCTCCTTCAGCATCACAGCAAAATTAGGATCGAGCCCTTTGTCTTGCAGTAAATTCGTCAGTTCAAGCTCTCCCTGTCTTGATCTTCTTTTCAAGATAGATTTAATCCTTGGATCGTTCAACTTTTCCTGGAAAGCAAGGGCCAAATTCAACTCCAGTGCCTGATTTGCAGAATTAGATCCACTAGACTCGCAGCCCTGGCTTTCCATTCCACTACTGGAACAAGCTACCAAAGAGTTGTTATGATCGAAACTTTTATCAACATATGAAGGCCCGACAACTTCAGTCTCTTGAACTACAGAACGACAAGAACTACTATGTAGTGCAAAACTTGGCCGTCCACTATCAATCCCCTTCTCACTGTGAATCCCTTCAATGTTATTCCAGCTAGAAATATCACCGGTACAAGGTGCTGTACCATTACCAAGGTGACCAGCCTCTGCACTACTACTACGCTTCACACTTGAACCACAGCCTTCAGATGAGCTGGATGAGCATTGCTCTTTCTTACGGAATCCTTCTCTGAGGCGAATTACTGTACTCTCCAACGCATCTCTTCTTGCAGTGGACGGGTTAGTGACTGACAAATGGCGAGAAACCGCAGCTCCAAGAAGCACAGATGCCACAACTGCATAGCTAATACAATGTCCTAGATACCTGTAATAACGAAATTGTGGTTTAAGTCTTGATCAAATAAACAGGAAGAAAAAATTAAGTATTTAGGTGTAGAATGTTGTTGAAAACAAGATGAAAAACGAACCAGTAATAGACTCCAAAACATATCAGGAAGACACGAGAAATCCCAGCAACTATAAGTGCAGCAACACGACTTTTAAGCAGCTTAAATCCATAAAGGCATGTTCCAACATTCCAATCTATCAGGGACAACAATATTAGGATTGTGATAACCGAAGAATTGCATATTGGAGAATTTGGAGTAATGTACTTATGTAGTTAGTAGATATACCAAGAATAATTACTGCAGCTGATGTGATGGCTCCGAGCCAGTGTGACTCTTTGGCTGTCAGGCCATATAAGATCGAATATACAAGCAGAACTACAAGGGAACCAAAATAGAGAAGCCCGAGGTGTAAAGCCCTGAAAGGATCAAATGCAATGGGCATTAGTTAAAAAGCTCAAGATAAGATATCACAGAATGGACATATAGAGATCACATTACAAACAAAAGCATAAGCCTAAGAGCATTAGTAAGATCTACAATGAAGAGATCGGCAAGGAAAGACCCATGTGGAGCACATTGACATTAAATGAAAACAATTAGACGTAAGACTTGCCTTCTAGATTGTTGAGGGTATAACTCATTGGGATCTGGTGGTTCGGGTAAGCAAGCAACAGGACCAACCTCAATACAATCAGAGTAAGCAAATTTATATGCCCTTCTCACATATTCATCGATATCTACACCGCTGCCTGCCAGATTCATACAAAAAGGATAAACAAAGTACAACTAACGTAAAATTTGATGCCCAGAGAAAACAAATGCAAGACTTACCATTGAAGACCATCCTACATATGAATAGCATGTTTATTGCTAGGGCAATTGCTGACACGCCAAAGAAAAAGCCAGAAGGTGAATATCGCTCAGATGCCTTTGCACCCGCAGTAACATATACAGCACAAAGTTCATATGCACAAAGCAACCCCAACAGCTAGAAGGAGAAGAATCGCAACAGCCCCTGTACAAGATTGTTATAAGGGTTAGATGAAATGGGATTAGTATGAAAAGAACATGCCTAAGCTGTAACAGAAAGTTCAGTCCATATACATACTTGAGCTTTGCCATTGTGTTCTCCACCAGAGCATTATGGAATAGAATGCCAAAAGCAGAGCAACTCCAGCCATTATAACGGCTAGACCGATTATATCTCGCCCTAATATCACTATCAACCAGCATCCCCATACAATAAGCACCACAATGGGAGAAATAACAATCATCCATGCACAGAGAGAAAGAAGACCACATAATATTCCCAACTGAGGTCCTTGCAAGACATCCGGCCATTTTCTAGCAAAGATCCAACTGAAAAGACAAATGAGGAAGAATTAAGTCAAAATTGTAGATATAGATATGTTGTGTTATATAAATAGTTTCACTTGATATGCTAAATGGTGTGAAAATTTAAAATAATAGGTCAATGAACTAGGAAATTATTTCCTATTGTTAACAATAACAAAGAAATTGAAATGAACCACCACACTTAAAGCTGCTTCTTGCATTCCATTGCACTTTGAGTTATCAATGAATTCAAGACTTTGTTTAAGCTCAAAATGAACTAAGAGCTTAGTTTGTTCCAACAAAAGGGAAATCGGAATTCAGGATACATAGACCTAGGTACAGACTTTCTGCAATAAATATGAATTGCTACATCTTCCAGAATATAGACAGTCGTGTCTGATAAAGAATCCTAGAGTCTCAAAGCCTTAATATAGATACGAAGACATGGAAGATATTACAAGAAAAATTCAGGGCTCAATAGCATTTAGATGAAATTTTACAGGAACATTCACTTTGTATACATCATTTACTGAATAAAGAACAATTTCACATCTGCTATGTTCTTAAAAACTTCAGCCGCTCTTAAATTCCATTAACGCATTTATAGTTCCAATTAATACGGTATGTGAAAAAATCTTATTAATTGTGACAGAACATATGATCTGCAAGTAATAATTATTCTCATTCGACCAATCTTATTGTGGCAAATCCAATTAGTGCGGCATGCCCCACATCACACTTCCAATGTAGAGACTTAGAACCGATCTCAAAGATAAAGGAATAAAAATAATATCAGCATTAACTAACAAGAATACAGCTCAGTATCTTCATTAATTAGAATGTGCGTAAACTCTAATCCATCTATTAAAGACTAGATTTCACTGCAATCAAATTGATATGATCCCGAAAAATAAAAAAATGGGTACAGAAAACTAGATACATGGGCCAAGGAGAATCACCTATAAATGCGCCAAGGCCGCCAATTGACCAACCAGAGTATAGCAAAAGAAGCAGCACCCAGAACAGAGAAAAGGGTCCCCGAAATTACACATGCCAGGATCAAGCCATGCTCCTCTTCCATTTCTCTCATCTACAACTACCACAAAAACTCATTAGTTGCCCAGCAAAGAAAACTAAACTTTATCAGAAAACTCAAAACCCTAATCAAACAAAACCAGAACCCAGCAGTCCCACTTGCACAATTCCATTAAAATTGTACAGTAAAATCAGTAATTATCAACTTAACAAGACAATAAAGACACAAACTTTGAAGCATATACGCGAGGTTACCTCTATCTCAGAGAAAATTGAGGCATTTCTCTCAATAATTTAGCTAAATAAGCTACTGTCTTGCAGAAAAATGCCTGCCCCTCACCATGGTGAACACCAAGAAACTTTGTGGTCTTGCCCTAACTTCCTACCCCTCGCCACGGTTAAAAGGGTAGAAGAAAAGGGATAAACAAAAATCAAAATTAAAAAAAAAAATGCAATTCTTGTTCAACAGTAAGAGTTTGAGGGCAAAGCAGACTATTAATATTAGAAACCCTAGAAAATTAAAACAAAGGAAGTGAAATGTAAGTATGTGGGGAGAAAGAATGCAGGTCTCAAAGGTTGTTTTCTTTAGAAAGAGAAATAGAGCAGAGACAGTGGAGAAGAAAGAGTAAAGTGTACCCCTCTGGCTCTGGATATTAAAATAAAAATAAAAAAATACACAGACATAAATAAATAAATAAAAGAAGAAAAAAACGAAAAAAATATATATATTTTAATAGAATATGTAATTCTGTGGTCGTAAATGTATAAAGTAACAGCTGAGAATTTAGTCGGAGGGGAATGGGATGCAGAGTTGTGGAAAAAGGCGTGGGTATCACGAACCAATGAGATATTAGATTTGGCGAGTGAGATTATATTCAGACATAAGTCTAGTCCGATACGTGTTCTTAATTACTGGACACACATGCTTGGTAATTACATAACATATACTTATATAGATATCTACTAGTATATCATATCTTATATTCTCATCAAAAAACAAAAAAAAAAAGTATCATATCTTATATAATAAGATGCTTAAAAATGAGAGTGATTATTGTAATTGAGTATTACTATTTACTACTCTCTAATTTTGTATTTGTCTTTAACAAAAAAGAAAAGATAATAAACCTTGAAAGTAGGAGTAATAACATAGATTAGTTAATCCGTAAGAGTTGATATCTTATGGAATAATAAAAAAGCAGCATTTATGCATTATTATTTATTTATTTGGTGAAGTGAAAAATAGTAAAAATTAGATATGGATGAAAAATGAAAATTGGGCCTAGTTGAATTGGGTATAGCCCGCCCATAAAGGCATGGGCTCGGGCTTGGAATTATTTTGCGGCCTTATAAGTAATAATAATAACCTATTTTTTTATTTTAATAAGCTAAATATTTTAATATGGGTGTGAGTGAGAGACAGAGAGGTGTTCCATCGAAGCACTTGTCAAGAGTTGAAACTTGAAGAACCCATCCATCATCATCGCTCACTGTTGTATCTCTAATCTCTTAACTGTATGTCTATATAGATTACTCTCTCTCTCTCTCTCTCTCTCTCTCTCTCTCTCATTAACTTCATCTATTAATTAATACAAAACATTCCTTTACTCATTACTATCAAAACGTTCAAACCAAACATTTTCTTATAAAATAAATTTGAGAATAATTCGTTTTAAAGTACATTTCACATTTTTTTTGTGTAATTGCATTTGCATTATGCTAGAATGTAGGTATTGAGTGGACATATATATAAAATGTGTGTTCATTTCTAAATAAAAAAAAAAATAATAATAACTTTATGAATATATGATATGATATGAAATGAGGGCTAATAATATGCAAAAGATAGGAAAAAGATAATATATATAACAATATTATAAAGAAAAAGGTTAGTGGGTTCTCACTCAAAAGAAGTGGCATCAAGAATCCAAAGATTAAATAAACTTTTCTTCATTCCACTCACATGCAAATCTTTTCAGTCATCACATTCCACTTTAAAAGAAAGAAAACCCAACAACATTAAACAAACTCCTACTTACTAAAAGATTTTCCATTCATTATGATTACTTTAATATTACTATTGGTTATTATTGTCACTAAGCACTGTCATTATCTTTTGTTTATTCTACATAATCATAAAGTTGATTAACATTATTAATAATAATAAATAAAGAGAGAGAGAGAGAGAGAGAGAGAGAGAGAGAGAGAGAGAGAGAGAGAATGACAAAGGAGGGCCTGCTGCTTTCTTTTCATCTTTTCAAGAAACATGGCCACCCACCCATTCACTTACATGGATATGGACCTAGAAAAAAAAAAAAACCAACCTTTCGAGGAAATCTAAATCAAGGGTCAAAAACTTCCCACTACACAGTTAACTTGCATTCACAGTTCACACTACACAAACCTCTAACATACCTAGACAATTTTAAATTTCAAAAAAAAAAAAAAAACAAGGGGTTGTTGAATGTTACAGAGGAGGTGCTTCAAAGGGCTCACTTTTTTTTTTTCATTTTTCATTTTTCATTTTTCATTTTTCATTTTTTTGTTGGGATGATGAAAAAGATTAAGAGCAATTAGGGTTTCTACCAGGGCCTCCATAGTAAAAGTAATGCCCCCAATCCCCATTACTCCCAGTTTGGACATCATAGCAATTGGATTGCTCAGTGAAAGTACCAAGTTCTTTTGGAGCTTTGAGGTTGTTGGAGCTGTCAACAACTTGTATGTTCCTGAAGTAGCTCGACTTTCCAAAACCTTCTTCTGGAAAATGACCGCTTCCCATTTGTGTAGATGTGTGCTGCCCATCGGGCTCCGAGTTTACTACCTCCCCACCCCACTCGATCATTGATGCACTCTCTGCCAAGTATGAGAACAAGAATGATGGCCAATACCCCAATACATACCCATTCCCAAACTGCATCCACCAATGTCCCTCTTTCGGGTCCTATAAACAAACAATAATCATAATATATCTTGTGAATAAATCGATTTACTTGGAATGCACCATCAAGCAAGAATTACGAGTTATAAACAGATTGTATTTCAATAGAGGGAAATGATATCCAAGAATGTGTGACTATAAAGCAAGAAATGAACAGTATTATTCAATCACATGCTTGTTACTCTTTTGTTTTTCTTTTCCAGCACAGGCATATGATTATCACCACCCTTTTAATTTTCAATACAGTTGAGCCAACTAATTTTTATGCCAATTGAAAAGCAAAGAAAAATAAACTAATTATGGCGATTGGTGGTGAATTGTGTATTTTTACCTTCCAGATGAGAATGCTGATATCGTATTGCGAATTCCGGTATGCAGAAACGGGAGAGATGCTGGCACCCATTGCTATTTCACTGTTGACTTGAATGAAGCCCGAGCATAGAAGATTGTAGCAGCCCGTTGCTTGATATGCATCGCTCTGTAACAATCACAAATTGGAAGAACTAAAAAAAAATCCCTTGAAAAATTAAGGGCAAAATAAACAAAAAAACAAAAAGGCTAGTAGATCGGGCTTACGGGCCAATAAGTGAAGAGCCTGGTGTTGTTGGCTCCATAGAGATCTGGGACTGACCTGAAATCATGTACATATATATATCCATCATTAATCCATTACATCACATTACATTACAAATAAAGATAAAGATTTCCCTGATGAGGGAGTGAGGGAGTGAGTGAGTGATAAATAATACCTGCCAACCAGCTTCAATACTATTAAGATCTTCACCAAAGAACCACCTAAGACCCAAATCTGGGACAAGCTGAACTCATTGGGCTGTGTATTTTGGGTTCCC